AAAACAATCTTCCTTCAGTGTACACAACGAGAGATGATCCAATAGCTGAGCAGCTTCAGCAGCTTCTAGGCCCTCCCAGAAGCTAGGATCTGGACCTCTGCCATGGGCTGCATCACCAGCTGGTCCCCTGCCCACTCACAGCCTGGGAGTGTACAGATGGTGAGGATATCATCATTTCCACCGTGGAGGTGGGGTGAGGTGGAGAAGTGTTTTTCAAATCCGTTGTTGCTTTTCATGTTAAAATTCTCTCACAATTTGCAGACACTAACCAAGAAGCAGGAGGAAAGAATTCTTGTGTGAAGCTCCACTATAGGGAAATGCATCTAAGAAAAGGTCTGTCATTTACAGAGAGGGAGAGAAGGAGAAAGGAGGGAAAGGGCAGAGAAAGAGGGAAGCAAGAAGTAGAAAGAGAAGTTGGAAAGAGGCAAGATGAAAGGAATGGGTGAGTTAATAAAAGGCCCAGTCCCATACTGTTCTTGCTTAAATAATGCCTTGCACTTCGGCCCAAATGAATATTCATTCTTTGATACAACCACTTCCTCACCAACATGTAAAATTATAGTTGCACGGTCTGAGCTCTCAAAGGAAGATGTCAGCATTGTTATAGTGAGCTTCTCAATTCCGTGAAAATAAACAAGAACCAATAGGATCCTAGCAAAAGTTCAAGCACAGAGAGTTTGGCAGTTCCAATAATTTGCTGAATAAAAGGCATTAGGGTGGTATCGTCTTACCATGTGTATTATGCAGGCCACAACTGAGAGTTTAGTGGAGGGAAATTTGAAATAAAAGCAAGTTAATTCTAAGCCTGTGTCTTTAAAAATTAGCGATATTTTTGAGAGTTCAAGAGAGTGACTCTTTGCTGCATTTGGCTTCGTGTTTTCTGACAACCTTTCTGAAGTAGCATGCTGTTTGACACAGGATTAAAACAGACTCCAAATTTAAAAAAAAAAAAGTATAACAGCTCAAATTAGAGCAGTGTGACAAAAAAAACAAAAGATATGTTAATAATTCAACAATCCAGCTCAGAGTGCTAAATTTTTGCCTGTATTTTTATAAAGTAAGGAATTCTCTTTGACCCTTACAATTTAAGGAAAAGATTTAAGATGCCAATTATATTTCTGTTCTTAATCAATTGATGCTTAAGCTATCAAAAGGGATTTTTTTTCTTTGAATGTGTAAGTACCAATACTAACATTCACTTTCTGATTAAACGGAGACTCTAATAAGTGCTGTTTTCTTATTTTATCTTCAAAGAAAACAAAGTCTATGATAAAACATCTCAAGAGAAACATTCAAAAGACATTTTCATTTTCTAAAAAACCTGCAAACAAACTTTCAAAAATATAAGGAATAGTTTTATATCTTTGTCAAATCTAACCATTCTTGCTTCAAAGTCCTTAGAAGAATAAACCACAAGGTCCAACATCTGAAGCCAGATTCATATTCATTAACTATACTTTTATTTATATAAATGAATTTGCATACCACTATATTATAGAATATTTGGAAATGAAGATTAAAAATGCATAGTTTTCTTATCTGTTGGTAGTTTTACAGATTTGTACTCAAACTGCATACACAGTGGTTTAAGATCACAAACTCTTCTCATTAAAATTTGTCACTAATGTAAGCATTTTTAAGTGTCACATGCTGTGAACATTCTGAAGGACCAGGACTACAAACAACTCCACTGAATTTATCTATGATGCCCCCTATGTTTTAAGTGAATGAAACTAATGAAGAGGGAATGACTGAATTTGGTTAGATTCGAAATATTTACAAAATAATGAAGGAATGAGAGTTACATGAGATTTGCTGTGCATCTGTTTACTTATTTATTAGATAATGATGGTCTCCACCAGACAGACCCTGTTGTTCGCTCTCTCCCCGACCTTCTAGGCACTGACCTGCCCAGGAAGCACAAAGCAAACACAGATTAAATGTCTGAATGAAAAGACCCTCTTTGAGACTTCCTCATGCAGTTAATCTAAGTGTGGGAGTTAAAAGTATTAACAAAATCCTGAGACAATGCAGAAGGCTTCCAAGTTTTCTTTACAAGAGATCTCCAAGAGATGGGCCTTGTCTGCCATGTTCATCTCTCAGGGACTCATAGGCCCTCTTTGGAAGAAAGGCTTCCATTCTTGTTTGTGTTTGTTTGTTTGTTTGTTTTCTCTCTCTTTCTGCCTGCCATCTCTTCCCGCTTTTCTGGAAAAAAAAAAAAAAGCATGCCACACATCAATAAAGATATTTTCCACATTAGCCCTGTTGCCAGCCAGCCACTTCTCTTTGTTTAAGTCTATTTACACAGTCTCCTTGGCAACATAAGGTAGAAGTTGATATTTTTTTATATCTCTGACTAGCAGGTTTGGTTTTCCCTTTGTCTGAAGCTTATCCACCTCAAACGCCGAGTTATTTCTAGTGCAACTTTTTGTTTAAATTATAAAAAGAGAACCATTTTCACACCCTATATTTTAGCAATCTCCCATCCAGACACCCAGTATTCTAGAGGATCCTTTAAAAAAATACCTATGAAACAATTACTGCAGAGAACATTTCTTCTTGTTTAGACCTTGCTAATATTTAACCCTTTCCCATAATTTTATTTGATTCTGCAGAACTGTGCACATTCTCTTGCCTAATACTTTCATTTTATGTTGGGGTCCGTGGAGCAGAGAAAAATAAGTCTTGAGGGTGAACATACCTGACCTCCCTTAGTTCTGTGATGCAATCAGCTGGATCCATTTTTACACCACAAATACTTCTTACAGTTAGATCATGCTGAAATGTACCAGTAAAACACCCTACTTGTCTTTCTCAAAATCCCAAATTCTGCACAGCTGAACCCTAAGGCACTTAACATAATTCGTGGGTCAAATGTGAGTCATGGAGAGACATGAACCATGTGATACTGTTGGAGAAAATGTTTCAAGTTACACAACATGACAATCACAGTATGACCTGTTAAAAAGGTGAAAGTTCATCGGACCCATTATTCTTAAAAGAGATGTGCTGCAGAATTACCTGGGAAGTGTTCTCTAAACTTGTACTGGAAATTTCACCCTAGACTTAAATTCTCATGGCACCAACATATACGTCTATTTAAAATGTACTCAGATCATTTTTGTAAAGTCCCAGTTATTAATATCAATGATATTAATTATGAAAGTAGTAAGGTAGATATTCAAGGTCTTAGATTGATTGCTGTAGCTCATCTTTGTAATCTCTTTCTGGTGCATGGGTTATAGTTCCTACTTTGTAGATGAAGAAACCAAACCTCAAACATGTTAACTGGTGTGTCTATTGTCTAGAGCAAGAATTTTAAGTCAGCTTTATTCTAAAATCTTGTCATTTTTATCCTGTCTTAAGTTTCTTTCCTCAAAACAATAAAGTAATTACTTGCAATACAGTTCTCTACATTTCCTGACAACTTTTATTATGCTAAAACTTTTAAATATTCATTACTGTGCCCTTTTAATAATTTTAGTAAAGCAATCATTTTGTAAGGCAAAGCAAGGTACAGAACAATAGCAGGATTAGAATTAATTTTTAAAAACTCTTTCTGTCTCTACCCCTCTCCCCCTCAGTTTTGGAAATACATACACCTAGGCCAGGAGACTTAGACAATTAGTACTTAATATAACCTCAAAATCTCTCTTTGAAACAAGTAATATGACTTTTCAAAATTTATTTTTTAACTGAAATCCCCAAGTTGAGCATCAATTAGCCATTTCCGGCGATATCTCCACCCTTCTTTGTCTTATTATTGTCTGGGTAGATAATAAAGCCCAGGGACACATTTTTGAGCCAAGTCATATTGTAGTTTGTCAATACTTTCCATATTTAAGTGATTCCTTGGTAAATTTTAACACCTACACCAGAAGAGATACATCACAGATCTTTGAAACAACAGTATTATTCACACTGATTTTAAATTTGTTTTAAGTTTACTGCTTTTGGAAGGATTATCTAGAGTCATGCTTCTGAACATAGTTTGAATTGGGAGAAGAGAAACTCTTCCTCTCTATCAGCACATCTTGGCAACTAAGCACATGATTTGTCCATTTGAGAACTAAAAAGTGGTGAACTATTCAAATGAATGACGATGAGATTAGATTTTTAAAACTACTGATGGAATGGAACATATTGCTTTGTTTTCAGCATTTATCTTGATTAGATATAGATACAATTTTTGCAACTAGTGTTTTTTTTTTTTTGTTAGAAAGTTTTGTAAGAATTTCTTTCAAGCATGGATTGACATTTCTAGGTGAAAAGTCTATTTTTCATTTTCTCAATAGACATTTCTAATGAGCTAATGTCAATCATTAGACTACAAGACCAAATATTTGGAGGCCTCTAAAGTTTTTAACGTAGTAGTGCAGAAGTTGTTGGTCTCCTTCCAAGGTCGTTGTTCCATGGTTTTCTCTTACAATAAAGACTGCTTATAACATTACGAAGAAAATTGGGAGGAGCCAGAATTCCATCTCCAGAGCAATGGAGTTTTGTAGAATTTGTTTTTCATCTTTGTTTATTTCCTAGAAGGTAGTGTAGCAGGGCACAAAGACAGGTTCACTGTACTAGTCATGCTCCTCTTACTGAATGTCCCTAGAAATAAAAATCTATTTCACTCTGGCAATGTAGAATCAAAGTAATGACACATTTTTTGTTTTAAAACTGCATATGACCACAAGGTGATTTACTATAGCTCAATAATCTGACTCCTGCCAAACCACAAATTCCATAAATTCTGAAGGCCAGAATTAGATCATAGCTTTACGTAGCTAATAGTCCTACCTGCAGTCCCTTCTGAGCTTCTGTCATCTTAATCTGAATATACATACCAGTCCTTCAAAGGCCATACTAAATATCATCCAAAGGAGAATAGAACACAGATTGCTAACCTTAGAAAAGGATGATATATTTTCTTCCCCTAATAAAACCCAACAGGTTTCCTAGTCCATTGTGACTGCTGTAATAAAGTATCACAAATTAGGTGGCTTACATTATAACAACAGAATTTTATTTCTCATAGTTCTGGAGGGTGGAAAGTCCGAAGTTAAGGCCTAGCAGAGTTGATGTTTACTAAGGCCTTGCTTTGTACTTCATAAACATTCATTATATTGGTCAACTTTCCATTGTTGGAACAAAATACCTGAAGTACACAAAGGAGGAGAAGTTTATTTCGTTTGAGATTTCCAGATGTTCAGTCCACGATCGGCAAGCTTCAAGGCAGGCATGTCATGGAGGAAGGTCATAGCGAAGGAAAGCTTTCAACCCATGGCAGCTAGAAGGAAAAGAGCAGAGGGAGGGTTCAAGAACAACATAGAGTTCCCAAGGTTATGCCCACCATGAGCCATTCTCCAGTTAAGCACCACCTCTTAATAGCCCCTTCAACTGTGGACTCAGGAATGGGTTAGCCTACTGGTGAAGTTAGTGCCTTCACTATCTGATCACTTTTCCGGGAGCCTTTTAACCCGGTCAACTGGGCAGTCAAGATTAATCTGTTCAGTCATCTTTTTGAGGTGGTTTCTAATGGCAAAAGGGCAAGGAAACTCTCCAGGGCCTCTGTTAGGAATGCACTAATATCATTCTTAACTTTATGCTCTCATCACATCCAAAAGCTCCCTTTTCTAAGTCCCTTCACTTTTGGTTTTAGGATTTTAACATATTGGGGCATTAGGAGAACACAAACATTCAGCCCAGAGATGTAGAGAAACTTTAAGATTAATTTCGAATCACTATGGAAGACTGAATCCTGAGGTTGGTAGTTCATTATTTTGCAGTCTTTATTATTTATTATTTTGTTATTTTATTCATTCTTGCTTGCAGTACAAAATGTTCGCACTCCTTGGGTGGAGTTCATACGTGTACGTAACACATCTTAATTCCTTTTTTCATTCCTGTCCTCTTCCCTTCTCCTCCCTCCCTCCACATCTTGGTCGCCTTCCCGTTTGAGAAAGATCTGTCTCCCTACTTCTTCTAATCTGTCTTTTGTTTTGCTCTTTGTATTACAACTTGGGTTTCTGATATAAAAGAAATTATGCAATATTTATGATTATGTGTCTGATATATTTCACAACATTATGAGTCCATTTTCCTACAAATTACTCAAGTTCATCTTTTCTTTATCCATTCATCCATTGATGGGCTTATAGGCTGCTCATAATTTAGTTATTGTGAACTGTGCTGCTATGTATCACTGCATTATCATGGCTCTAACTCTTTTGGGGAAGATACCTAGAAGAGGAATACCTGGGTCAAATGGAATTTCTAGCTTTACTTTTTGAAGGAATTTCCATAGTGATTGTACTAGTTTGCATTCTCACTGAGGGTACTTTATTGGTTATGCACAATTTAAGATTCTTCATATATATTAAAGTCACCAAAACCTTTAGACAATCTTATTTATTCCTTAAAATGCAATTCTTAAAAAATTCAACAAATAAAGTTTGATATAATAGAGAACTAAGCTTTAAAAAAATTCAAGCAGCTTGTTTTAAGGAGCTCAGCGTCACTATTTAACAACACACCTAAGTTCAGGGAACACATACCTAAAAATATTACATCAGCATTTCATTGAGCACTGACCCTAGCTGACATGAATTTTTTTTTCATGTCTATTTCATCTAATAGTAGAATGTGGTGTCAGGGTCTCTAAGTTAATCATAGACTTTTAGGAATCCGATCAACTTCTGTGTATTTTGAGTTTATTCTGGGCCTCCGATTTAAAATGAGGACTGGAGGAAATCCCTCACTCCCTATTGTCTTATAAATCATTTATGTAATTTATTAGACTCCTGTGTGTAAAATGTAGATGTATATTTGCATTTGCCTTTAGTGTAGTAACAGAAAGTTTAAAACAGAACTATGAACTGTAATAGAACATTTATCATTGGAATACATAGGAGTGTCAAGTGACTAATATGCCCTGAGCCTTTTCTCTTTACCTTTGTAGCATCATGTAGAGCTCTAGCATGAGGGAGAACTTATGAAAATAATCAAATTAGAATTCAGATCCATCTCTACACACCACACACACAGACACACACACACACACACACACACATGCACACACACTGACCCTCTTGCAGAATTCTAGAGTTGCTCTGGTCAGGTTTCTTCCATGTTCTGAGATAAACATTTCCAGTCATATGACAAATGAAGTGAAAGACTGAAAGACAGATGAAGTGACTGGATTTGGGTAACCTGGACACTGCCTCGTCAGGACAATGGTGGACCTAAATTTGACAGCGCACCTCGCCTACACACAGGACAGTTTCCTGACGGCTCCCTGGGGGAAATGACCATTCCATTTCAGGCTGCAGAAAGCCAGTGCCTTGTGCTTTGGAAATTCAGTAAGGCTCAAAGAGTACCTAGGGAAAAATGGAAAAATCTAATGCAAAAATGGAAAAATATTTTGGTCCCAGGACCCTCCCTTTCCTTTTTAGCAGAAATCTGTTAGAGTACAAGCTTTTTAGGTATTGGAAGTTAAACTGTATTTGTATAACCCTTGTCACATCAAACTACCTTCCTCTGCAATGACAGCATTAAAAACAAATAAAAAGAACTTTCTTTGAGGCATCATAATAGAAACACATGAACAAATAGCCGGGACTTTAAATTTTTATGTTAAGAGAATTCAGGCCCTCCACAATGAGCTTTAATGTGAAAGCCCATAAAAGCAATGCACGTTCACCACCCACCTTCTATAACAAAGGAGAGAGCCATGACTTTTCCTTACAAAAGCTCCGTGTTGGAAACACAGTGCTCTCAGCTGGTAGATCTTGAAGGCAGGATATATACAGGGCCTGTGCAGACTGACTAGCTAAGCATGTCTGGCTGAGTTTCTAAGATCTGAGATTTGGATAAATAAAACTCATGGAAAAACTGCAGTGACCGAAGTCTGTCATGGGACTAGTTGGAAACATTTGCAATGAACCATACCAAATAAAACTCAAGAAGGAAAATTTAGTTGCCGTAAAGTTGCCTGAGTTCAGAGTAAACCCAATAAAAGCAGACACTTGTTCAGTGGAACCAGGGCCAAAGTGCATATTTCAAATGTCTTCCACTGAAATGCATTTCTAAAGTAAAATCTGGATGAATGCAAACCACATGCTTGTGGTATATGTGTAACCATCTATAACCACAAAGTAGAACTGGATAACCTGTGTCTGAAGCACTTTATCTTTTCATTTGAACTTGTATATGTACGACTTGAAAATTAAATTATTGCCTGAGCAGGAAAGAAGCAGTTACAACACATTAACACTTCTAAAAGAAGAAAGGTTTGCGGCATAGCTATTTTTTATAATAGTCCAAGGTAGGTTATGTGGCATAATGATTAAAATTACAGATTGCTGAGAAAAATCCATGAAGTCCTTACTCAGCTGCTTACTAACTGTGTGACCTTGGGCAATTCCTTGACCAAGGCAAGAATCAATTTCCTTATCCATAAATTGATTTTGAGGAATAAATAAGATAATGTATAGACTACGCAATGCACCTCTTTTTATCTACAGTTACATTCATCATTGGGAACTTGTATCCTTACATGATGTGACTTGGTTTTTAGTTTTTCCCCATTCCCCTATCCTCCCTTAAACCCCTCCACCTCTCCCTATTTACAAACGCTTTGTTTCCATTTGTTTTCCTTTTCTCATATTTTTTCCTTTCCTTCTTTCCTTGTCACATGACATGTGAATTATAATCTTAGTTTAGAAATTTGACATGATGCATAATTGCAATTATTTGGCATGATTTTAAACATTGTGTTTGTCACTATATATAATCTCAAGAGAGCAGCAAATAAACCAAGGAAGAAGTGATTTTTTTTAAAGCAGTGATTTTTATAAGCCTTATGGATCCAAACAAAAAGTATCGACACACAGATATGTCTGGCTTGTTGGTTTATTTTGTTAAATGAAGTGGTTTGAGTGGGTCTCATATATTCATGATTTTTTGTTTTTTTGGTACCAGGGATTGGATTCAGGTCCTTGCATTTTGTGAGGCAGGCAGCGGAACCACTGAGCTAAATCCCCAGCCCTGTTCATGATTCTTTTCAGGAGAGAAGGAAGAAAAGATACATATAGCACAAGTCTGAATGTGTGAAAGTTGCACCATCTCAAATTTATTGCTTGCTAGATTATCTTCCCAAGCTCTCTGATATGACAAAATTCAACTTATCAGTTTTATTTTGTAATATATTTTATTGTTTATATTTAATGTCTTTGGCTTGATAGTATAAGATGTAGCTATCAGTATCTATGTAGATACAAATGGTCACTGTAGAAAAACAAATTAATCTGTATGTCCTCTCACATATTTACCAATCTCCCCTTCGCATGGCAAGAGAAGCCATAACCCACTCATGTAGCAAAAATCCTGCAGAGAATACACTGTCACCAACTGGATTTCTCAAGTGATTCATTAGATCTTCCAACTTGTTCACCCTACATTTATGCTAGTTGGTGTGCTTTAACCTATGTCTTCTCCCCCGTCCCACTCAACCCTGGTAACCACTGTCATATTCTCTATTCATAATCCACTTTACATCGCTACGCTATTCTTCGCAGGTGCACAGTGGGCCTCTGGCTATGAGTTTTTTCATGAGGGGAAAACTGGTTGAATGTATTTCTTAGTTCATAGGTGTGTGACAAGACTGAATAGTGCATGCTGGGGGCTGGGGAGGGATACAGAAAGATCAGGCATACACTCTCGAAACTCAAGAGCAGGGGGTCATACTGGAGAGAGAGAGAGAGAGATCTGTACGTAGGTCAGAATGAAGCGTGGCATTCTGACGCTCTTACATGGGCCCCATCCGTAATACTGCATCAAATGAAGTATGACCACTCCTCGGTTTATACTAAATTCCTCTTCACGTATGTGTGCACAATGGCTTATTGCAGCCTGTTGTACTGCTTTTCTATTTTTAACATTGCCATTTATATAACTTTCAAGAGACAGGAAACTACCTTTGGATATTGTAAATCGTCAAAGGGACTTTGATTTATTAGGTTCCTTATCGCTTGGCAAATATATGCAGCAGACATTTTCCACAGAATGAGTATAATGGGACTCATCCCCCAGACATTCCTCGCCTTGGTTAAACAAACCCATGCCCTCATACCAGGACTCTACTGACTCTTTTCTTGGGAGAAAGAAGCCTCTAGATTTCAGGAGTGCCCTCCTATGGCTGCACCACAATTTGAGTGATCCTCTTTACAGGGTTCCCTGAGGCTATGGTGGAGGGCAGTACTCCTCACAGAGCTAAAGGCCAGCTGAAAATTGAGGCAGAAAAGGCCTTGATCACTCCACAGACATGCTGAAATTGACTAGTGCTTTGTGTTTGACTTTCTTTTTTCCCTTTTGGTTTTTTCCTATCATGCACACTACTTGCCTACTCAATTCCAGAAACAGCAATATCTCACAGCCATTGCTGGGGGAAAACATGACACAGAAAAGTCAGAGTGACATCTTCCCCTAGGATAAGATTGTTCAGGAAAAGACATTAGACAACTCCCAACCTGAGCTTCACAGATTGGCAGGAAAAGCTGTCATTTACTTAGTGTTGTTGGGACAATTAAGGAAATGATAGACCTTGAGTGCTCAGTACAAAACTCTCCTACAGTAGGTTCAATACACGATAGTGATTATCCTGTGGACCTCTTCATTGCATTGATCTTTTCCAGATCCACTCTCTATCATGAAACCCAAGAGCCCAATGTGCCTATGTATTTTCCAACCCTTAGTGAGGAAATCTGGAAGGCTTCAAAATTTCTACATAGGAAAGCTTCGAGGAAACAACCTAATTGTAACGTAAGTCTTGCAGGAGTGTTTTCACGAGACTTTCCACTCAACGGCTCACTTGGTGATTATTTATATCAGAGAGGAGGGCTGCTGATGGAGAGCCCCCTCCCCAACTCTAGAAGCCTCAGTAATTACTTAGAAATGTCACAGTTTGCCTACAGGCTGACCCTGTTCTACCCATGTCCCTCTTACTTTTCTCCTTTTACAAGGGTTCCATCTGAGGTTTAGGAAATGATGTCTGTTTATTCAGCACTTAGATGAGCAGTAGAGTTCACAGGGCATTCTTCCCTCATGGGATATTTTCTATCTGCCAGGGAAAGGATAGATTTAGTTATAAATATGCCACAGAGCTGGTACTATTTGCACTGTGAGTGCACTGCATTATCAGTGGCACAGATGAACACATCACCAAAATATAGTATAGTACTCTTCCTGATATGTAATCATCTTCCATCCCTTTGTTCATTTTCCCAGAGCCAAGTGATGATGTTACAGGCTTCATTTGAATGAATTCCTTAATCTAAAATACAGGTAAAAATCAACCCCCAAACCATGTGTCTGCTTTTTTAAGACTGAGTCTGGATTTGAAAAATCATTCTACCTCACTTTTCTTGAAAGTAGCTCCAATCAGTACTGAGTTGAATTAGTCTAAAGACGTAGGGTTTTCCTCCATATCCAAGGTGTCACAGCTATGCTATTCAGATGGGAAGGGCCATGAAATGAGTCTTCAGTGTGTCTAATACTACTCTTGTCAGGCAACAATATCTGTTTGTTGAAGGAATAAATGATTTTTCATGACTGACTTACGTAGCTCTTCAAAATCTCAGATTTAAGAAAACATTGACTGTGTTAGTCAACTTTCCACCACTCTGACCAAACACCTGAACTAAACAACTTATAAGGAGGAGCGACTTGCTTCAGTTTGTGGTTTCAGAGGTTTCAGTCCATTGCTCAGTTATCTCCATCTCTTTTGGGTCTGTGTTAACTCAGTGTACCATAGTCAGGAGTGCATGGCAAAGAAAACCACTCATCTCAGAGAGAGATAGGAAGGAGCCAGGATCTTAAAATTCCCTTCAAAGGCAAAACACACCTCCCTGATGATGTAACTTTCCTCCACTAGGTCCCACTTCTGAAAGGTTCCACCAGCTCCCAATAATCCAACGGCCTACGGCCATCCTTTAACACCTATGCCTTGGGGACTGCAGAGGAGAGTAGATCTAACCCATAATAACCAGAACCACAGAATAAAGGACAAACGCTAATAGCTTTCCTTTCATAAAAATTGAGAGCACAGAGTATACCTCACATGTTAACTTTCGCTTTCTAGTTGGGCTACTGTGTTCAAATACACAGATTAATTTTCCCCTAAAAAGCACTAGAAACTCTTATCACACAAATTATGGTGACTGGGTAATTGCAGGCACCATGACTTCAAATCTCTAGTCTTTGATTTGCTTCTGATTGGATGGATAAAGCAGTACTATGAGCAAAGAGGTGCCCAATGCGAAGACTCAGTGGCAGCTGTTTTCCTCGTGTTTGGAGGCCTTTGCCATGCTAAACAGCATCTGCACAAAGGGAGAGCCGCATTGCTGGGTGCAGCCATTGTTCTTGTTGGTGGATGGAGATTTATAATTATACACTTTCTGCACAGAGCACATGCCACAGAGAGCAGCTACATAAACACAAGCAGCATGGCAGGGAGATCCAGGACCATAATGAGGTTACAAACTGCACAAAGCAATTTCGCAATTGATGAAATAAGCTTTATTTGCAAATAAGAGATGAAGTGTAGACTTTTTTCTTTATCTTTTAGATTGTTTCCCAAAATTATATTTACAGGGAACAAGACAGGCCTACTTAAACATTGCTGATGTTTTCAGTCTGGCTTGCAGTGAAATTCTAGTAGACTCACTTTTCCTAGATATTTTCATACTTATATTCTTTCTTTGTCTCTCTGCCTGTCTTTTGCACACACACACACACGTGCGCACACACACACACACACACACACACTACACCCCTTTCACCAGTTAAAGAAGCTGTCAGGTGTTGCCACTGCATGTAAGAATATCAGTAGTTGAAATTGAAACATTAGAATTTCATTGTATTCATTTTGGTCCCACAGTCAATAATAAACCATAGAGAACAGATCAATCTATTGAATAGAACTGTAAAATAATTAACATTTCCATTCTCTGTTCCTGTGTTTTGTTCCAAATATTTAACATCTATATAATACTTTTATAATTAGAAAAAAATTACCCAGCTCTCTACCTACCTACCTGTTGTCTATCCCTGCTAGACTTGGACAAATTTGCAAGTTTTTAATAATAAAAACAGCTCCTGCCTCTTACTGACCATGCGAGATACCCACGCTCAGAAAGTCACCGTCAGCCTGTAAGGTTCTTCTTTAGAGTATAGGGTTCAGTCCATCTGAACTGGGCTCTGAATGGAGCATATTCACAGCTTTTCTTCCCCCCCACTTTAGGAAGTGTTTTATAGAGTTTGTCAGGGTAGTAAACTCATACCTGAGGGCTGGGGAGACAAAAAAAAAAAGAGGCCTAAGTGGAGCACGTGTGTGCGTATGGCAGCTCGTACTCCAGGTGTCGTCCTGCCGTTTTGAATACCGCTGAGCAGTGCGCGTTACTGTACTCTCTAAGATGTCCCGAAAGTCTCCTGCAATCACAGGTGGGGTTTTTGAGAGGTGCCTGAATTATGGGGCTTAGAGCAGACTTGCTGCTAATGGGTGGAGCCTGGCTGGAAGAGGTGCGCCCTGAGGGTGTGACCTGGCTGGCTGGCCTTCTCTCCTTCTTGCTCCTCCCTGGATTCTCTATGGGCTTCGCCCGTCACAACATGAGCAGCTCCACTCTGCCCAGGCCCTTCCACTGTGCCTTCTGCCCTTGGAGCCAGCCAACTAGGACTAAAAGCATGAACCAAAATAAACCTCTCCTTCTTTAAGTGCAGGTCTTGGGTGTCTTCTGCCAGCAAGGGGAAAAGTAGCTAAGACACTATGTCACTGTTTAAAATAGGGTGGTACAAAATGAGTGCTCAATAAATACTTACGGAATAATTATTCTAATAACAAAGATTTATATAACTTTACATAGCTTATATACTAATATATTTAGTTCTTAAAGTATATACAACGCATGTTCATCCACAAACGTGGAAAATGGAGAGGTGACCTTTGTGGTACTGGCTGGGTAATGCGAGTTTTTTCTTCAGCCGGGGATTTAGCTCAGGGGTTCCGCCTCCTGCCTCGCAAGCACAAGGTCCCAAGTGCGATCCCTGGTACCAAACAGACAAAAATTTCTTTCTCTAACCCTGCAGTCGGATTTCAATTCCAAACCTCCTCTTAACCAATCCCAGTAATTTAACTTCCCAACCGTAGTGTTACACCGGGCCCAGGGCAAGTGCCAGAAGCCAGCCAGAGAGGAAGCCAAGATAATCACATCTTGAACAGTGAAAATATTTTCCACCCGTTCCCACTCTATGACACACAGACTCGGGTGCCTCAGAGAGCCAGGGGAGTCCTCCGACCGCTCTGCCAGAAAACTGAGTTGGCGCAGTGCCTGCCCACCATTAGCCCTTACCAAAAGTTGTATCCCTGCATCTAGGGCTACCCCTTTCCCACTCATACTTTATGACTCTGAGGGCTTTCTTTCCCAAGCATACCATCGACATATGCTAAAAATTGTATGCCGAGGCCCGGACCGCCATCAGATAGCTTTAAATTAAGCCCCACAGATGTATTTCCCAGCCTCTTGCCTGAAAAAGAAGCACCAGTTTCATTAGGAGGCTGAGGTATTTGATTCACAAGCCTTCAGAACGCAGAAGAGGTGAAGCAATAGTTATGAATGGGGAACGCATTCCATTCTCTTATTACAATATTTGTTTGGTTTCCATGGTCCCACGAAGTAATCTATATGCTATCAGCATATTTAGTAAAGAGATACACACCCGATGGGGGATGTGAACAATTTATTTCATTTAGCAAATTGAATTCGACTCCTGCAAAGATAAAAATGAGCAGTAAACTTCCAGATATTCAAATTCAGAATGTGATTTTCCGTGAAAGAATGCAGCAGCTTTAACCAGCAGTAGGCAGGGCTGTGTTTAGCAGGGAACTCAGTGACTGGGCAGGGAGAAATGGCAGGGACCCAAGCTTGGGGCCATCCTGATCATATTTGCTTTTGTACTTTGGAAGAGGCAACTTATACGTCACTGAGCTTTTTTAGATATTGGTTCCCTACTCTGTAAAGTCGCGAGTCAAAATAGCTTTCCCTTAGGGTGTACCTTGAGCTGGTTTAGCCTGTCCCAGAAGAAAGCCCAAGAGTTACATACACACTAGAAAAATATTCAGATAACTCAGTGATCTTTGTATATGCCATGGTGACTGCTTGTGCTCCAGTAGGCTTCAGTGGACAGCAGAAACCATGATTGAAAACAGGCAATGACAAAAGTAAACATTAAAGCGATGCCTTTTTTTTTTTGTCCTTTCTTGCATGCTGACCTTTGCTGACTCTTGTCTCCTTTTCAGATGACACTTACCAATGTGTACTCTTAGTCAATGCTAGTTGGGAGATTTTGCTAAAAAATTTAGAGTCCTCCATGAAAGTCTTTCTTCTTTTCCTTTGCTACACTTTCATTAAAATTCATTTTGGAAACTATACTTTCTCAATAATAGAATCAAATTTTATGTTTTGGACCTGTTTCCCTGACAACAGTGACAGGTGCAAGTTCTGGTGTATGCATATGTTCATTTAAAAGGTTATTGCAATTATCACTGTAAAGGTAAATTTCCCTTCAAGTAAGCAACTACATTGGTACTTTTAAGAGAAGCTGACTTCTGCACATAATGATATATATTAATTTCCTCCAGAAAATGTGATGAGTATTATTCATAAAGGAAAATCTTTGAAAAATATTTGTTAGTTTATATAATATAAATTCATACCTAACTTCATAGATTATACATGGGAATTTAGAAAGTTCTTGCATAGCTTTAACTTGGGAAAACATTGCCAGTAAGAAAAAAAATAAACAACATTGGATAGTAGCAGAAAGTTATTACAAGTGCTTCTACAAAGGACATTCAACTTAAAGATATAGAGTAAATCTCTGTTTATCCTAATTCCAACCTCTTAGTGTAGATTTATGCCATCTAAAACCCATAGCACTCTGAATGTATATGATAGTCCTTGTTATCCCTTGAAAAAAGTTATGGAGAATAAAAAGAGGTAACTTATACCTCATTCACTTGTCCACTTCCTTTAAATAATATATATGTGCCAACAAAAAGATGATGTGCTCCTTGCATGCCTCTGATTTCTTCTGCCTTTCTTTGCAGTCTTACAACCCAGCTTCCCAAACACAGTAGGGTTCAGAAAAGAGCAGCAGGTAAACAGTGTCTTAGAAATGCCCAAGGTCTCCTCACGTCTTCTCTTTCCATCATTCGGATCTTTTTAACCTTGATCTTAATAATTTGCCGCCTTCCTCATTCCTTGGTTGACACTTTGAACTGGACTTGTTGCTCTCTAAAATCTTACAGCCCTGCTTTGCCCAAGGCACAAGCCTCACAGTAGCAGATTGTAAGCTTCTTCATCTCAAGAACTTTATCTTATTCCTATTTTGTTTCTGGCCCAGTTATAGCCCAGTGACTGTATATTATAGATACCCCTGGGCTCGGGGACAGCCTGCCTCAGGAACAGACAATATCCCTGCACTGGGCTAGATTTGCACTCAAACAGGAGTGCCGAAAAGAAGAAATAGGTTCCAAAGTACGTTGTTTTCACTGGTGATGGTGAAGATGAATGCTATGGAGGTAGGGATTTCTGACTCCCAGTGAGATATGCACTCACTAGACAGCAGCTTCACCTGAGGGGTTTGTCCTCCCAGGGACCTTTGTGCAAAAGAAATGAGGCTGTTATTCCCCAGACCTTAAGGGACGAGATCAGTTCTGCAGAAGAGTTAATTTTAAGATAAAAGGGAGAACTCTACATTCAACTTAGATGGAGGATTCCATTTAAAGTAAGTGGAGGGAGCAAAATGAGTAATTAATTTGACCTAGACCAGAGGGGAAAAAAAGAAGAGACGAAAGTAAAGGATTGATGCGGCCATTTTGACAGAATTTGGCAGCTTTCCCTCCAAAAGTGCCACCCTTGAAGATTAAAACTGGAAGACTTCAAATCCTGAGCAACCACATAATATTTTGTAGATGTGTATCAGGTATATCCTTAAACAATCAGCCTCTCATGCTAAATGGGCACTTCATTATTTTCTCTTTGAAATTTAACTCCATTTTAGTTCTGTGCTTGTCGGGACACCTTTTTCAGTTCAGGGGGAAAAAATATGGTACCAAGAGCCAGAACCTCATTTGAGGAAGTGGCCCTTACCAGTCTCTTGGATGCATTGCGAATTCCTTAGCTTGTGTCTTTAAAAAAGGCAGTTCAGAGAATCAGGCTGGGCTTGAGAGAGATGGCAGATTGTTAGAGATCAAGCTTGAATTCCACCTCTTCATACCTCTGGGTTTCATGATGAAGCCATTCATTATTTTTGCCTCAAGTACGACTGATTTATTTCACTGTACTTCTGTGCACATACACCACTTCTGATTTCCACCCAAATAAGAGCAGATATCTGTATGTGATATCTCCCATGTGACACAACTTTCAAAAAATGACAGAGCGGCCCTCCTAAAGGTGGAGTGAACAGAGCCATTGTTTACATTTGCTTCTGTTGTACTATACAGAAGTACAATATACAGCAGAACTTGATGTGCATGCACAATTTCGCACAAAATTTTACATGCATGTCTATGTCTATATTCATAAATTTGAAATAAAATTAAGTTAATGATAGTTGTAAAGAAAAACCGAGCAATAACATGACAACAATTCCCACTCTCTGAACCTTTTGTAAATTGCACCGGCCTATCGGGTGCATTCTTTATAGTGATCTAGTAAAAATTGATACAGTAAGTCAGAGTTGTCTCGGGTGAAACAGGACAAGAGTCTCTTTTGTTTTCCCTGTGGATCCAAGTCATGTTTCTCACTTGACCTGAGCTGCAGTGCATGGCTGTTGGGACAAAAGCCATCCTCTGAGCTTTCTAAAGGAAGCACTGATGGAATTAAATTGAAGTAATCAGGGTCAGAGCATTCTAGGAATGGGAAAGGCACAAAGTTTAACAACAAGAAGGCAAAGGTGTTCAGATTGTGTGGAGCCAAGCAATATTTGCATATAGAATACTATGGGAAGACAAAGTAATCCTAGCAACAGCTTAGTCTCTCAACTGGCTGGCCAGTCCTTGCAAGCCAGTCTTCTTCTCATCAGCATGGCTTTCTTTTTGGCCTAGAGTCAAGAAAAAGCCCCAAAGTGGGAATCTAGACATGCATTGGACCTCAGAGATGCGTCTCTTAAGATTTGCACCTGATCAGTTCAGTTTTTTAGGCCCCAGTTTCAAATCAGACTAGGAAACATTTTAGATTAGTTGATGACCAAAGTATTTTCAACCCTAGAAATGAATTTATTTGGAAATAGCCTAATTATAACAACCTCTTTGCATCCAGACAGCTACTATTTCTCTCTCCATCCCACCCTACGTCTCAGCACCTCAGTTCTTAAATTCCTCATCCCTGTTGCCATCTTTTCCCATCTCTTTTTTCCTCTCTCTCTCTCTCTCTCTCTCTCTCTCTCTCTCTCTTTCTTTCATGGGTCAATAACAGCATCACAAAAGATTTGATTCTGTTAAATAAAATGAAAGCTTAGCTATTGGTACGGATAATTATTAGTAACTGTAGTCTCTTGGCTGTGCATTATTTATAGCTTAATACTCATTCTTATACATATGTATAATTGCTCTTTAAAAAACCAAATGCAAGATGCAAGGGGGTAGGGAAGTAATGCATAAGGCACACACTACAAATGCTGTCAAGGTGTTTCCAGAAGGCTACGCAAAAGAATACAGTCACCAGGTTACTCTCAGAACACATGGAAAAGAGGCACAGTAACCACACCAATGCAGGGCTGTAGGAAGTTGAAGAGGTACAGATATTTATTTGGGTGATTGTTCATTGCAGACTCTTGCTAACAATATTCAACTTTTGGTTGATTGAAGAAATGAAGATTTAGCAGCTGCATAGATAATATAAAAGAGAGGGAAGTTGAAGAATGAGTTTTGCCCACTTTCAAGAAGAATTAAGCAGATTCTCTAAAAACAGATTTTTTAAAAAGTGTTTCCTCCGTTTAGTTCCTAAATTGTGGGATTTGTGTTCACAATTACTA